TTGTCAATCAAAATAATTATCTCATTTAGTACAGTATCTATACTATATATATATCTATATATGATGTATAAATATACCTTACTCTACTGGTGATGTCATTTATATATACACTGTCCGGGATATTAAATCTTGTAGATTATGTCCCGGACAGACATGTCCGGTCCCGTCCCGTGTCCGTGTCCCGTCCCAAACCCAACACTGTCGCGCATTGTAGGATTTGATGTAGATGTTACACAAACGTGCATGATGATCGACAAATCAGAGCACAGATTCAAATTTCACTAATTGCGTAACGTAACAGGTAATGTTAAATCGCATCCATTTAATAGTGCATTCGCACAAGAGTTTAGTGTTTAGGAATATTTAGTATTAGTATTATCATTTTAACGTAATGGCTTGTCATTTTGCCATGGTTTTGTATAAAATTTTTTTATAATAAAAGACATTGTCATTTTAAAATGACGGACATTTTCATAAAAATTTTTATGACTTTGTCATTTGCCATCACTGACTAGAATAGCATCCTGAACTTTTCGTTTAAATTGTTGCACTTCTTCCCAACAATCAAGAGTATGTGTGCTATTATTTCTATTAAATATTTAATAAAAAATCATCTATTATTAAAGTATTCGAATTAAAAATAAAATAAGCGAAAAATTTGTAATATTACTTGTAACAAGAGATGATTGCTCTTTGTTGTTCAATCAATTCTGTTGGAATTTTATTTTCGTATTTTCTATCAAGATTAAAAATAAAATTAGTAGATCAGATAAGATGATTACAAATTAATTAAATAAATGAAATAAACCTTTCGACTCGTAAAATCAATTCTTGTATATCTTGTTCAGTAACTATGGCATTAATACCATGATCATCAATGACGGCTCTACGTTTAACTAATTCGACTTCAACACGTCTTTGTATTTCATCATCACGCTCTCTAATACGGTTTAATTCTCTTTCAACGCGAGCTTGAACGATTTCCTCTATATCTTTGGGTAATATAGGTTCAGTGGCTCCTCTACCCGCTGTTAGTTGTGATTTTTTCTGCACATTTTATTGATTTACTAAATGAATCTATTTCAAAATTTCGATTATTCTTAAAAAATAGCGATAATAAGAACTAACCGCTCGTTCTTTTTGTAGTTCTTGTTGTAATTTATCAACCAAACCATGAGAAAACTATTATACAAGATAAATGATTAACCTAATGTAATTTTTAATGTTGTTAGCCGAAACTGTTTTTGAGCTTGTAGAAATATTTCGGCATTTGATATTTAGTCTGCCGAAATTCTAAATTATGCCGAAATGTCTAAATAATGTCAAAATGTCTAATTAATGTCGAAATGTCTAAATTAAAAAAATATATATAAACTTTTTATTTAGCAAGTATTTGAACTTAATTATTTTGTGGATTTCATACTATAAAATAAATTAATCCAAAAACGGTTGATTGGCAGATTTAATTATATTTACTTTTCTAAACGATATCCGCTTGAAAAATTTCCCACATTATACGTGCTTTTTTCACAGTACTCACTATGCTAAATGTTTATAACTTGAATCTGGGTTACTATCAATTAAAAATCAGTTACTTCTAATGTACAAGACCTCTCTATCACTTATTTAGACATTTAGTCAAATTAGAATTTTGACATTTCGACAAAATATAATGTCATGTCGAAATATACTTCGACACAAAATTGTCTAAATATTTGACTTAATAGGGTATTTCGACTAACAACATTAATATTATAAAAAAAATCAATTGGTAATGAATAAAATACTCACTCGAATTTGAGGCTCATTATATATTACCATGTCCACCGGTGTTGATTGTCTGCCACCCATAATTATAAGGAATTTTAAAGTAGTGTTTGTCTTTTACTATTGTGTGATGAAATTAATTTATAATTTAAGCTTTTTTAATCTGACCAATCAGAATAATTGATGGTTAAAGATATCAAAAAAAATTTGATCAACTATTTTATCACCCTCGAAATGTTTCATTTAACATCTTCTTTTCTTAGAAGAAATACATGTAATATACAAAAAAAATTTTCAAATGCTTTAATCTTGCGGGGTGCTTTTACTGGTTCTACTACAGGTTTTAGACTTCCTCTTCCACCAGAATTCTCGCAAATTGAAGATGCCATAGAAATCTTTAAACCTTGTGAACAGCCCGCTTCAATTTCATATTTCACTACAAAGCCTCACTATAACGATCTTCTTATACATCTTGACGAACTTTTTGAAACATATCGAAATGCACCAAAGCTAAAACGAGATAAAAATTCACCAACCTTATGGATGCTCAAGGATCACCTCAGTTCAGAACTGGGTTTAAAATTAAAATCCAACCAATATCGTAACATAACTCGAAAATTAAATCGGTTAGATCTTGTTGTACCTGAAACAGCACCAAAGTTACATAGCATTTTAGAATTGTTTAGACGAGTTGATTTAGAGAAAAAAAAGAAAGAGTTAGAAGCAAATAAAGTACCTAATCGATATGGAGTTTCATATGCTGTTGGCAGAAGGAAAGAAGCTGCTGCACAAATATGGATAGTCGAAGGAGATGGAAAAGTGTTTGTTAATAGTGTTCCGGTAGCAGATTATTTCTCTTTACTGAAAGATCGTGAAACAGTTTTATATCCATTAAATTTGACTGATACGCTTAATAAGTATAATATATGGACCAAAGTCAAAGGTGGTGGTACATCTGGTAATATTACTGTGTACACATATATACATAATGCGTATATTGGTTACTGAAATTCACAACGTCATTAAAGAAAAGATTATGTTTTAATTATTCTAAAGGTCAAGCTGGAGCTATTGCTCACGGTATCACCAAAAATTTGATAATACACGATCCATTCCTAAAGCCGGTTTTACGAAAAGGTTCAATCACGATACAACGCTTTTTTATTTATACAATATTTATAATATATATTTATCTTTAATTCACATCTATTATATTTCATTAGCCAAACTCGTCACCCGAGATATTCGTAGAGTTGAACGTAAGAAACCTGGCCTTGCGAAGTCAAGAAAGAGATATACATGGTACATAATTTGTGTTCACATGTGTTTTGACTTATATACTTCATATATACTTTTTTGCTAAATTAATTTGTTCAATGATTTCAGGGTAAAACGTTAAGGATAATGGGTAATACTGTAACAATTCTAAGATATGTTACTTATAATAAAAACTGCAATTATGTTGGAAGGTTCATCTCGAGATAACACTGCTCCATATAACTAGTATGTGCACATTATTTCGCACATTTTATTTCAGATGAAAAATATTTGGATTGACATGACGGGCAGACGAAGAACGTGTTAACAAAAAAATTTATTAGAAACGAATCGTTGTTGTAGTGAATTCTATCTTATGAAGATTCTAATAATAAAGAATTTTACATTACAGTATTATTAAACTTCAACTCGATATAAAAAGTATATACAATGCATTCTCCCAATATAAACTCTAGTAAACCCTATAATTAGTCACTTGTACCAATGCCAATTTGAATAAATTATTTATATAGCCAATCAAAAAACGAAAATTCTATTTATGTGTTTTAGTTACAATGACTCTTATCATTTCCCTTCCCATCTTGTTACTTTCTTCGAATCTAATAGTGAGCGTTAAGTAAAAATCAGTAAATTACCAAGTGTATAAGTAGAAATGAAATAATGAAATAGTTGATTTTTTTTACCTAGATTCAAAGAATTTTGAAGTATCCTCAAACCTTCTTTGATATGTAACCATATTACCAATGTCAACACATTCTGCCCAACCTTTAGTTGCACTATAAAATTCCATATCATCCGCTCGAATAACTTTACTATATAATGCTGAATGAATTGCTTCATCTAACATATCTGAATTGCAGAATAAATATTCTGTGATACCTCTAAAAAGGTTAATATTAATTAATAAATATATATATATATAAAAAAAAAAGGTAAATAAAATAAAATAAATGCACATACAGCCAAAGTCTAAAAAGTGGAGTCTGGCACACCATATGTTCATACGGATTAATTTTAAGAGAATGCCAACAATCAACCTTTAAAGTGATAAGTGTTAAAAATTGTATTATCAGTAATAATACAGATAAAAACCTGTCATACTAACCATTGCTAACAATGATAAATGAGAATTTGGTTTTCTTTTATCTTTAGGCACACTTGATAAAGAGAATTGATCTAAAATAGAATCCGATAATAATATTTGTTCGCGAGAAGAATTTCTAGTTTTGCCAAAGACGTATTCTCCCGCCTAATTTATAAATAAATCATTGTAAATCATCATAAAACCTAGATTATTAATGGAAAAACAAATAATAGTTATCATATAAAATATGTACAGTCTTCACGCGAGCAGTGAATTCCTCCTCTTTTTCTTGAATCATCAACTTAAACAAATCAGATACTGATTGTGAGTATTGTTTAATTTGTATTTTTGCAGCTGGATTCATAATAGCGATTCCTATTGATCGGTATAAAAATGAACATTAATAATGATAATTTACTATAATCGTAAATTTATTATCATTGTATTTTGAAATACTTACCGGCATAGACGTGCCATTTGTTCGCGTATATGCGTAATGCCATATGAACTTTAACATTTTCTATCCCACCGACGTATTGCGGAGTTTCCCACTATTATAAGAAAATGAGATTAAATTTTTTTTTCCCGAGAAATGTATGCATTTATTAGGTCTTATATAATATCATACCGGGAATTGTTTTTGAGTCTTCCAAGCAGTTCCCATACTTTAAAAAAAATTTATAGATAAATAACATGTATACCTTAATGTATAAAAATTTTAATTCGCTTACCTTAAAAAGGCCACGTGAGTCACAGCTTGAGTATCGGCCATGATACGATCATGTTCGTTATAGGATAATACTACAACTTGAGATTTCAAACATGATAATATATGTAGTGCTAACTGGAATTTCTCTTTTGTGGCGCGATGTTGAATCATAACCTAAGAAGTTTTTAACATACATAAGGATTTTAACTATAAATCTTCACGTGATTTGTCAGGCGGTTTATAAATTACCAATGGCTGCCCTTGAGGATCTACAGTAGGTCCGTGAAGCGAATGACACGAAACGATGTGAACATCTTCGGGAAGATGTTTTTCGAAAGCACGAATTTCAGGTTCTTTAACCGATGTCTATTCATATAAAATTAGAAAGAGATAAAAAAATAATCATAAGTAAAAAATATCGACATTTTCATACCTGGCCAGCTACTATAGAACCAACTTTGGTAGCTAATTTGTTTTTGAAAGATGAAAAAGTATTATATGATGTAAAATATAAATTCTAATTCTAATAATTAAAATAATTAACTTACAAGGACCATATTCAGCCACCACCTTATCAATATTCTCAGCTTCGACAGAATAAATGATAAAATCACACTTTCTCGATACAGCATGACCATCTCGAAGAACATTCAAACCACTATCTAAAATTTTTTTTATTGAATGTTATTATTAACAATCAAAATATCATCATGCATATAATTTATCAAAACATTATTATTAACCTTTCAATTTCGCTTTTAGTTGTTCATAACGTGATGGCAGGTCGCATACATTCACACTTTAAAAGATAAAAATGATAGAAAAAGTATTAAATGACCTTATTTACATGATAAACTTGTTAATACAGGTTGTATTATACGTGTACCTTTTCCACCCGGCCTTTGCTATTCTCTTGGCATACATTAAACCCATGTCACCCAACCCTATTATGCCAATTTCTACCTCGCCTTTTTCGTGCTCAGAGACAGTCATATTGTGAGTTTGTAAAAAGTAGCTCATAGTCCCCAAATTTTTTATGAAAGGCTTTATATTTATGCATCTACGTGGCTTGCTTCGAAACTTTGTTATTATTATCACGAATTAACAAGTTATGCACATTTATCTATTTTTATAAATAACAGATAATCTTACACATGACATTTACGGCATAGCGAATATAATTGGTAGATTTTTACATATAATTATAGATTTTAATATATACAGTATTTCGATAGTCGTCAAAAACTATGAAAACTCTATATATATATTTATAAATTTTAAAATCTATAAAAAATTTTATTTTAAAAAAAAATTTCACATTCAATACGTAATACTTATTTCTGAAACACCAGAAAAAGAATTATTTCTTGCTCCCCCTTTCCTCACGCTTAATATGTTCTAATTTTTCTTTGTATCTTTTTTTTAAATCTTCTTTGCTTTTTTCAGCATCAAACTTTTTTGCATTTGTTGATCCAGGATTCCTTCTCTCCTGAGTGATAAAACGCATTGATTCTTGTTTATATTCAGCCTTTGAAATGCTTTTTACTTTTTCGGCACATTTTGGAGAATGGGATTCAGGATGTCTTAATTTATTCATATTATAGTTAATTTTATGATGTAGTAAAAATAGTATATAGAATAAATTATATAATTAATTAAATTTACCTATGCGTTATACAATATTTCATATTACAGTATTGACATGTGTGACTCAATACCGACAAATTTTGTTTACATTTTGGAACAGGACACACATTCGAAACTGGTTTCTCGTCGCTATTTGAATTATACAAAAAAAAAATTAGCGATCAAAATGGGAATTATAAATTACAAACTAAATAAAAATATATAGATATATTGAATCGATTTAAAGTATGTATACCCCATAATATGTGCAATAATTTCGTCTAAATCGTCACCTTTTTCTTTAGTATCATTTTTAGTAATATTTTTAGTAACAGTCGATTCTTTCGCCTCTTTTGCACTATTGGACTTTTTCTTTTTTTTCTTCTTTTTAGATTTTACGTGGGTTATCGTGCTCTCTTGTAATTCAACGTTTTGCGACTCATTATAATTTGTCTCCCCGTCGTCGTTTGAATCAGGATCGTTTAGTTGCGTATTTTCCTCCACAGCTTTTATTTCACCCTGTTCCATTGAAAGGTATTTAAGTTGTTAGGATAACGATTAGTGGAAATGTCCCTTAATATTTTGTGTAACATACTTGCTTTTTTGTGTCTGGCAAATGAGATTCTACTTGAACATCACCATTCTGATTGGACTAAATTAATTATCAAAATGTAAACTTTGAGCGAAAATATCTTGACAACTACTATCTAAAATCAATAAAAATTTTTTTATTCCGATTCTATATATCAGTATAATTAAAATAAAATAAAAATATTAATTTTAAATAGTTTGTTGTCGAGATATCGTCGCTCAAAGTTTGAAAAATCTTGCCGCAGCTTCTGTTTTGATAATTATCTAAATTTTTCCAAAGTTTTCAGTGATCATCTATCTAAAATCAATGAAAATTTTTTATCCCGATTCTATATATCTGTATAATTAAAAATAAAAAAAATTATTAATTTTAGAGAGGTGATTGTTGAGATATATTCTCTCAAAGTTTGGAAAAACCTTGCCGCAGCTTCTGTTTTGATAAGTTTTGTTCTAAACTTTGAGCGAAGATATCTACAACCACTTATCTAAAATCAATCAAAATTTTTTTGTTCCGATTCTATATATCTATATAATTAAAAGAAAAAATTTATTAACTTCAATAGGTGGTTGTCTAGATGTTTCGTTCAAAGTTGAAAAAAAAAATTACGTAGAATCTCATTTGCCCGACACTCTTTTCGCCATGGCTAGGGTACTACCTTTAAAACATCTTTATTTTAGATGTTAGCCCTACCGCTACGTACGTACGTACGTACGTACAGTACAATTTTATAAACTATGTTTCATGTTATAACATCTGCGACTCCATCTCCATCAAAAATGTGATCACGCTGCTTTTCAAAATTTTTGGGGCAGTAATTATCAGCGGACTTTGAAGTGTTCGTCTAATAAAGTTATACGTAGAAAGTTATTTTCAGTAACAATCTCTGAACCGAACAGTGTAGAGAGAATTTAGCTAATGGTCATTACTACATACAAAAATCAATAAACTTCTATTAGAAACTGATATAAAAAAAATAGGGGACCCAAATTTGAAAATAATTGTCATGAATGAGGGCCCAACATAAAAATATTTATTTATAAAGGCCTAATTTTTGAAAATGTTACAAATACGGGCCCAAGTAATTTTGCGTCGTATGAATCAGTGCCAATCGTGATTTAACTTATACATACCGATACGAACGAAACTCCAATTTTACTTCTGGCGCTCATCGTTACTACATATTAACAAAGGTAAATTAGTAATCATATATTCAATACAGTATATGAGTATAAAATACACTTTTCTATTAGTAAATTCCTTTCGTCTCGATTTTCTAACAATTTGCTTATAAAACATCTTCATCTTCGATTGTAAATATTATCGTTATGTCAAACACATTACAAATTGGGATGACATTTACTTGGAGAAACGGCACCAGTAGACCAAAATACTTGCAAAAAATGAGGTGGGTTAGTCGTGCCATAAAGATTACATTTAAAATACTAAAAGTTAAATTATTACGTAAATTTATTGGTGATTTTTCGGGTCGGGAGAGGTCTGTAATCACGAGACCGCGACATTTTTATGGCATGACTAACCAACCCACTTCAAAAAATGCGGTAAAAAAGGCCATAATATACGAACTTGTAATCGAAGACGTAGAAATTATTTTACAATACTCAATGGAAAATTGCATTCATATAAATGCTGCCTTTATACTATACATCTAAAAATTACATTGAAATGTTTCGCTAATTCGATATAACTATTTTTTTTAATGCTTATTACAAATACAAATTGTAGCCGTTTTAATCACAATTTCATATTATGGAGTGAGGTGAGTGATCGTTGCAATATTATGGCGCAACGATCCCGTATTTCAGTATTTGTAATATTTTCAAATAAATATTTTTAACGTTAAGTTGGGCCTTCATTTATAATTATTTTCAAATTTGGTCCCGATGTGTAAATTCCCCCCAAAATAACTGAATATTGTCAAAGCCAGTTGATATTTAATCAATATCTGTCCTTGTATTGTTAATTGATCGACCTTCTCAAGTCTACTAGCCAAAATTAGGGCCGATGATTTTCTGCATTCCACGGAATGCCGCAGAAATCACGAAATCAGACTGTAATATCAAAAATGACACGGAATTGTCGATGGAAATATCACGTTAATAGGTAAAATATAGCTTCTGAAAGGTCCCGACATAGAAAATAAATGAACCTAAAAATACGAGCATAGTTGAACTAAAATTTTGTTTCATATCCGAAATAATCCAAACAGAATTTATACATCAACGCATAATTCATAAATTTTTAATCATGAAATTTAGATTTTTGCAGAAAATCATCGGTCCTGTTACCAAATATACGGAAGCTAATTATAAATTTTTGAAAACGAATTTAAAAACCATGATAATATAGAATTTATAAGACAAAATTGTGGCAATTAACGTTAATTTATATACATTTTAGATTTCGGCATTAAAAAATCGTTCTACGGCATATGTACAATATTAATTTGACGCACAACATAGAATAAAAAAAATTTAACTGATATCATGTAAAAATTATATACTTTCATATTAAATATTTTTTTAAGTAAATTTTATTTCATTTTTATTATTTAATATATCTGATATTTATTACAACAATATATAATCTATTTAATAAACTTTATTTTATCGTTAAATATTATACAAAAAAAAAAATAGAGATAATTCGTTTCAGAGATTAAATCTCTTACTTGTCCCAACCACCACGTATAAATGGTTCTCTTCTATTGGTAAAGCGAACCCAACCCATCTCTCGCCGGTACTTGTCGTAGCTCATCTGGTAAAAACATAAGGGGTAGTTAAATATATTTAGAATTGAAAACAACCAATGTATAATGATCACCCAAAGCCGAAAAAATATCAAGCCGAAGAAACGTCGAAGAGAAAGATCGAAACCCACCTGGTAAGAACAATAGGGTAATAGTGATCACCCAAAGCCGGAAAAGGTTCCCAGTCGAGCAGGTTACTCTACATCCATCAAAATCTTTTGCTAGTTCCAACCACCGTGTAGAGGTAGATTTCTTCGGTTTACTCTAAAAAACCAATCGAAAAAAATAAATAAATGAATAAAGGTATATATAAAACTTTAACGCATTATAATATGTAAACCACACTAAAGACACATGAAGTCAGCGTGGTGTTTTTGAGAAGTATATCTTTTACCGTTTTCTCTTCTTCTTCTCCAAAAGTCATTGCAACTCTTTAAATGAAGTGTTCATACAAAATGTATTCGCAATGCTTTCTCCAAGGTTATTAAACGAGGTTAAAGTGGAAGTTTTGCAGAGTGCGCTTTCGCTTTCTAACCCAAGATTATTTTACTAAGGGTTAGAGAAATCAAGCCGCTCCCAGTTTCTTGATCCCGGTTTTCTTGGTTCTGGTTTTCCTAGTTCCGGTTTTCCTAGTTGCGGTTGTTATCCTGGTTGTCATAGTCCCGGTTTTCCTAGTTGTTGTCTTGGTCCCGGTTATCCTGGTTGTTGTCTTGGTCCAGGTTATCCCGGTTTTGGTTGTCTTGGTCCCGGCGAATTCAATTAGCGAATGAAACGGTTTATAAATTATAACTATAACAATAAAGAAAAAGAAGTAACGATAGTAAAAGTGATAAAAATTAAAAAAAAAAGTTCTTATATATCTGATTCTTTTTTCAAACGCGTAAAATTGAAGCCATTTCGTATTGTTATTGTTATCTGCACTTTATTTCGAAGATGTCATAAGATGTCATAAGATGTCACGTAAGATTTGACTGGTGTTTTTGTATTGGAGTGATGTTTTAAAAAACCCGTTTTGGGGTTTCCGATCCAGGTACGTAGGTACTGTACGCGTATTATTCAAGTAAACAACCGTGAAACTTCACATGATTCTAAATTTATCACAAAGACACTGACTTATCTTGATATCTTGATACGCGCCCCTTCTGAATACTTCTATTTACGGAAATTGTTTTTTTTTTTTTTTTTATAATGTTAATCACGTAAAAATATAATTATATTAGCATCAGACCCTGGCCAAAATGTACGAATTTTTGGCCAGAATTAAATCTGTTATCAGCTATTATCAGCTGTTATCAGATCATCATCCCTATTGGATAAATTTTTTGTTGTTGCACAGGAAATTTGTATTATGTATAAATACACGAGTTTTTACCCACACATGTAAACAACGGTCTTTTGTACTGTTTCAAGAAAACTGGCCGCTCCAAAGGTATTACCTTTGTTGAGTTCTCTCCAACCTCGTTAGGTCGATCCGAAGATATACCGTCTTCGTTGATTTCACTCCAACCTCGTTAGGTCGATCCGAAGATATACTTATCTTTGTTGATTTCGCTCCGAAGATTTACTCTTCGTTGATATTTTTATATGTTCGCTTGGACAGCGTTAACAAATAGCCCGTTTTTTCTTTTATCCTTCTTTTGACGGACCAATAAGCAGGATATGGAGGTGGTTTCTCTTCTTAAAATTTCTTCTCTTTTTCACCTTCCAAATTGAGTTCGCTCTAATAACAACAAAATTTAAAATTTGAGAAGATTAAATTGAACCTCATGTCATATGATGATAATTTTTAATAATGCCTTTTAGGCATACATATACATGTATATTCTGAGACATGGGAGTTTGATATGTTCGAAATTAATTTTATAAAATTTTTATATATATAAAATCTTAAAAATAAAAGCTTTTGGCCTGTGGTCTATTTAATGTTATAAAAGTCTCGAAATTAAATTTGTGTAGCCTGATTTAATTATTTTAATAAATTATTTGAGCCGATTTAATAAAATAAAAGATGTTTAATAGTTATAAAACCACTCTATTTTTACTGTACTAATGAGAGAATTAAACCGGTTTAAAAAATACATCTAAAACTATAATAAACTTTTCTTTAATAAATTGAACAACAAAAATTTTAAAACTTGATACGTAAAAGCTCAAAACCAAATACCCGATTTTTTTAAAAAAAAAGTTTGCTAAAAACACGAACTATAACATATTTAATTTATTCGATTTAAATTTAATTTAATCAAATTTAATTTTTTATTCAAATTTATAATCAAATTTAATTTAGTCAAATTTACATATACAGTTTTTTTAAGTTAATTACATATTGTACACAAAGATTTTTCATTATTTAAATGGTTTGTTAATAAGTGAATGAACAGGATGAACTTTATAAAATTCTATCATTTGTTTGGCTTTATCTGCAGCATTCTCAGGAGTTAAACCATATTTTTTATACAATTCCTTGTAAGGACCGGAAGAGCCAAAGGATTCCATACCTAAATTTGCGTGTGCATACCTAGACCAACCAAAAGTAGATACTTAAAACGGGGTACCGTATTCCAAACTTTGTTCTTCGAAAGTTCAAAGAATGGTAGGGACACGACACGAACTTTAATGCCCTCTTTTCTAATAAATTTGCAGCATCAACAGCAATTGAAACTTCTGTGCCTGTTAAGATAATTTGTGCATCATGACAATCTTTTAATATATATCCTCCTCTAACTGTGCCTTCAATTGAGGAACCTTCTAAATTAGGAACATTATGACGCGAAAGAGCAAGTACTGAATGACGTTCAAGGTTTTTGATCGCGATAACATATGTACCGGAAACTTCGTTTCCATCAGCAGGTCTTAAAAATAGAAGATTCGGCAATGCACGGAGACCAGCAGCAGTTTCAATGGGTTGATTAGTTGGCCCATCTTCACCTACAAAATTGATACATAAAAAAATTGTAAATAGACATCCGATCTTTTTTTTTTAAAAAAAAAAAACGTACCCAAACCGATGGAATCATGAGTCATTATATAGATTACACGAAGTGATGAAAGTGCTGATAAACGAACAGCACCCAAACCATAGCTAATAAAGTTCAAGAATGAACCCCCGAATGGAATTATACCACCGTAGGCAGCAAGACCATTCATAGCAGCAGACATAGCATGTTCACGAACCCCATATCGTCCACTATATGTACCCAATCCCGTAGAATCAGCTTGAAATTCGGTGGCAGTCTTCCACCTTGTTAAGTTAGAACCTGTTGGATCTGCAGAGCCACCAATGAGTTCTGGAAGTACATCGCAGATCTTATTCAAGACAATTTTTTGATAGCAAGGGCAGGATCGGATGGGGTATAGCGAGGTAGGTAAATGGCTTTCCCAATTGGCCGGTAATTTACTGGAGAACCTACATTTTATTTCCGCACCCTATGTTTTCAACATTATGAGATAATGAATATACAAGATTAAACAGAATTAAGTTGCAATTTTTTTAATATATGAAACATAAAACTATTACAGTGCGTCACTAACATGGATCATGGCTTATTAATTCATGATATTCTGATCAATACTTTTCCAAAAGTTGATTCCACTCTGCTTCTGCTTTAGCGCCCCTTTCACAAAAACGTTTACCATATTCATAAACCTGAAAAATTAAAAGTATTAAATCTTCTCTTAAACAAAACGAAAAAAAAAATTTTTTAAAATTATTTAATAGGACTAACCTCATCTGGTACATGGAAAAATTTTTCTGGATCGAAGCAAAATTTTTTTTGATTTCTACAATATCATAATATGGCAAGGCACTGCCATGAACCTTTTCGGTGCCTTGGTTCTTAGACCCAATACCGATTGTGGTCTTAATTTTGATGATAGATGGTTTGTCTTGCTCGTTCAATAGCTTCAGCAATACCATCTAAATCGTCATCACCATTAGGTAAATATTGTGTATGCCAATCATAAGCCTAAAAATGGTTTAAAACATCTTCAGTAAAGCTCAGGTTAATGTGACCTATCGATATTAATTGTATTGATTGAGAATAAAAATTGAATGATAACAGAATAAAATTATAAATAAATGTTACCATCAATGGTCACATAATTGTCATCATAAAGGACAATTAAATTACCGAGCTGAAGATGGCTAAATAACAAAATTAAATCAATCAAAGTGATAATTATATAATAAATAAATATATAATAAGTGATAAATAATTGATTACCTAGCAAGTGATGCCACCTCGGAGGCAACGCCTTCTTGAAGGCAACCGTTACCACAAATCACATAAGTATGATTTGTGAATAATAGTTAAAGGTGACAGCACAATGAACCTGAGCCATGGCCAATCCAACGGCATTGAAAAAACCTAAGAATGATCAAATAAATAATTAATTAAAAAATGAATTAATCACGATTATATTATAAAAATTTTTATTTACCTTGACCAAGAGGACCAGTAGATACTTCTATACCCTGAGTATGAGACTCTGGGTAGAATATTTTTGATAAGATTACGTAAGGATCAAATAATCATAGATTAACGTATAACTTACTTGCTATCAGTTTGACGAAAATTTTTATGAAGTAAAATGTATTGCATGTCCATTGGACACGAAATGATCTCGATTAGACTAATATAATGAAAATAATTAAGGAATCGATTAATACTTTTTGTTTTTTTTTCGAGACGAATTTCGAATCTAATCTTTTTTTTACTAACGCTAAATATTAATACCAATCCCTAATTCCGACCCAGAATTTTAGGGATCCCCTGTATGAGTTGGGTTCAGGGCCGACGATTTTCTGCATTCCACCGAATGCCGCAGAAATCACGGAATGCGTCAAGGATAGCACGGAACTGTCGCAGAAAGTAGGGTTTATAATTTTTTTATAAGTACGCATGATGCTAAAAAGCTAAATAAATGAACCTAAAATACGAGCATGGTCGAGTTAAAAATTTTGCCTGATAAATATATTACAACCCGTGATCTGCATGACAAATCTGATAGATTATCAGGATTTTTACTATATAAGAAAAAAGAATTTTAAAGCATATGAGCACGTAGATAACGCGTATGCTTATTAAACATGGATTTAGTCTGTTTATCACAAATGCGGAGTGTGTTAGAAAGTTTCAAAGCTAAGTGTATATTACCTTTATTACTTGAGATTTGGCAATTTCATGTGTTCAAGGACTAGAATACGTTCCGGTTACCAAGACAATCGTGACGTATTGACAACCCCCGAGTAGTTGGCTGACTGAGGTTGGCTGGTGATAGTGGACTGAGGTTCCCTCGGCGTCCTTGAACTAAGAGCTAGAATGCGTTCCGGTCATTGAAATAATAGCGTGCCGTATTGACAACCCCAAGTAGCTGGCTGACTGAGGTTGGCTGGTGATAGTGGACCGAGGTTCTCTTGGGCGCTCTTACATGTTATTGCCAAAAATGGAAATAGTGTTAGAAAAGAGATATTAACGCGTTTGATCTTTTAATACTTAATATAAAAGGTCCTCCAAGGGTGTAAATAAGTTCAAAATTAGAACAAAGAGGTTTGTGAACTAGATGAATTAATATATATATATTAATTGGTATTATTTTGATTTCTTATTATGAATAGAATGAATAAGCAACTACTACCACTCATTACAAACCGACTTTTAGAAAGTGCAAAGGAAAGCCCACCAAAACGCGTGGCAGAAGTTAGTACTGTATATTTAAATCTATTGAGAATTTATTTAATTTTTTATTTAACTTACAAAATTTATTTCTAGGCAGTGGGGGACGATTCAAACAATTCTTTTGTTGTATTAAAGACATATAACGAAAATAATTCAGATAGATCATATCAACCACGTTCAGACGGCCTGATGATGACACTGACGACAACAATTTTAGCGAAATTAAGAAGAGGAGAACCCAATATACTCGCGATTGGTTCATGGGACCAGGCATTATGAAACCCATATTAGGTGCTGACTGATGTAAAGAAAAGTAATATTTGAACTTCAATTTAGGTCTATTTAGAAAAGATTTTAATTTTTTCTTATATATGCAGTCGTACTCGATATTTCAAGTATTTATTAGAATATCAGACATGTTGGTTAGAGTGTCCAGGATTATGATAGCACATAAAATATAATTTGTATAATTTAAAGAAACACGCTTTTTCAATAAATAAAGATACTCTATTGGCCAACGGGCATCATTTATGTTGACAAAATTTGGTTACATGAAATAATTATTGCCAGCATTATCAAGTCGGCCTAAATTATATTATAACACCAGCTTGATTCCAACCGGGGTAAATCGCTACCCAAAAAAGTTTCGAAAATCATGTAGTATTGTTAATTCATTATAGATCATGATAACAATTTTTAATAAAGTATTAATTGATTCAGAAATGATTTTGTTTTAAAATGATCGTTGACAATCTTTTAAAAAACAAAATCAAATAACAATAATCTAAAAGTACACATTGTTCATCGTAACCAAAATTTCCACTAATGATAAACGAAAAAGAAATAAAATTATATAAACTAATGAGGCAAATAAAATTACACCAGAAATCTTATAGATTTTATATTTTGAATGCTCTTCCGGAAAACTATAACTGATTATTTATTTGAGCAACAAAAAAATTATTGAAGAAAACATGATTAATCCAAATAGTAACAAATGGACTGATAATAAAAATTTCGAGCTATTATAAATTGGAGGATAATTATAATCATTTTAAAAGGCAATGGAATATTCCAAAGATATACTAGAAAAATTGTAATAATAATACTTTATAACTGTAATAAATATCACGTTTATTGAGTTTATTTAATGATTAATTTATTGCTTATCGTTATTATTTTAGTCTGTAAATTTTTTTGGCGCTCGACATATTTATCATGTGATGATAGAAACTTTCCGGTCACTTGATTCTGGGTAGTACTATAATTTTTCATAATTTTATGTAGCATAAATAGCGCTGAACAAACTATCAGTACTTGATATATTTTTTAAATTATAGCTCCAAATGTAGTAACATTTATTGATTGATAAATACGGTCAAACTTTGTTAGTATGTTTGTATGTAAAGTGAATTTGTCTTTAATATCATTCTCATGTGATTTATTTTTTATACAAAAATTGTGAAAAATTGCTTTCGAAAAATTTCCGTGTCCCTGTCCGCAGTTCCCTAATTTCACATGACCTACCAGCCGGATCGTATATTTAATGTCCTTATTATTACTATTCATCTGAAACTGAGGCTTCCTCAATGTTAACAACTCCTTTTAGATCTTTCCCACCTAGCGTTAGCTTTCATCTATTGACGGATTATGCCTTATCTGGATACCCCGACTTTATGGCTATACCAGTGACTGTTTTCTTTACGTATGAATCTTGTTCTTTCTTTTATGAAAATCCCCTGGAGTGCTAGCCAAAATATATATATTTATGATCTAAGTGAAAGTATGTATTTTTCATTAAAGTTTATGAGTAATAGTTATTAATTACTGTAATATTATATACAGAAAAAACAATAGAAACATCTGTTCTTGATCATATGATGGATAGCATTTATGTTCAAGACTTTTGAACCAGTCTGAAATCCCTTTAGAAAAAACAACATTGATAAGGTCAATTTTTTATTCTCTATATATGAGCCAATTGTAAGTACTGTGACATTCATATTGGTGATTTTAAATACTTAAAATATGTGAAATTTACTTGTGACCTTATATAGGTTACAATTGGTGAAAATAGCAGTAAATTAAATAAGTTGATGAATACACTTTCAAGAAGAAAGAAAAAGTGGAAAATCTAATAATAGTGATGTGAACTTTGATGCTTTAACAATAAGTAAATCAGCAAAAAAATTAGTTCTCTTACAAGCAATTAACACTTGAACCCAACATCATCGCTATCTCACAATAACACAACTAACTCTCAAAAATCTTCAATAGCTGATTTATTAGATTTATTCTTCACTCCAGCACGAGCAAAAGAAATGCTTAAAGAAACAAATACCCTGCTTATAGTTGTTTTTACTGTAGACAATAATAACCTTCTAATACCAGATCGTTTACCAATAAATACTGATGATGAATTTAAAGTATTTTTTTCAATTAACATAGCAATTATTCATATCATTGTTAACGTGAATAATCTTGTAATTAGCAAATAGAATATAATGAGAACAAATAAATTGCAAGATATCATAAAAGTCGTTGTTGGCCTGGACAATTGATTAAGGTTGGAATCGCTAAGCCTGGATTATGATAAAAATGCTAATAGCTTTGCACAGTTTGCTTTGTAAAATATCCAATTCCAATCATAAAGATAATAAAAAAATCTACCAGAACAAAAGTGATGTTTATAGTGCGAAATAATTATCAATGTAACCTATTTTTTCCTTTGTTTATAATTTTAATTTCAAAGTAAAATATTCACTCTCTGAAGGAATTGAATTGTTTGTTTGAACTATTTCAGCTTTATAGTTATCAAGTTCTTTAATTAAAAGGTTTTTAATAAATTAAATAGCTATGATAATATATTTTTTTAAATGCCAATGATTACAGCAACATATTAAATATGTTACTGCGGGATTTCTCATTTTATATTACCTGTATTACTCACTTTAAGTTCACTTGAATCTATTTCAATAAATGGCGATTTATCTTCAATATTCCATGTAGTCGGTAAAACAAAATCATTGTACGAAGTCATTAATTCATTTCTAATGAACGAAAGTAAATAGAAATATTAACGAACACAATATACTAGTGTTACAAGCTAAACGTTAGTATATTCATAACTTAATCTTATTGAGATCGATATATTATATTTGTTTGTGTAATCCTTTTTAAAGTCTAAGAATAAGGATTTGGTTTTTTGTAAATTAATATTAGTCAAAACTCACGTTGGTCACTCATATAAATTATAGTTATTGAATGCGGAGAAGAAAATAACTACATTTTCAGTATAAATCATGTGAGAAGTATTGTATAGTAAAGCTGTATTATGTAATTATAAGTCAAATGAATATCATATAATATGAATAATATGTAATGATTTTTGACCGCCCATTGTTCACAATGCTATGTACTTGACGAAACAATGTAGGAATAAATATCCAGAAAAACGGTCAGCAGAAGAACTCTGAAGTTTTTAAAAAATGGCAATAAGATTATCAAATTTTAACGGTACTAAATACGTAAAGATTTCAGAAACTTTAACATAAATGCAAATGGTGGTAACAGACTAATTAGTTTATATTCAAAATCATTTAGAAAAGAAAAATCACTCAATAAAAAAAAAACAATCATTCAGTTTAAAAAATAATGAAAAAAAAGTAAACATTGCTCAATAAATAAGAGAAATGTTATCTATTTTTATAAAAGAAATAAATTCTCCAATGATTTGCTATATTCAATCTGATTAAAAGGCCATGCAAAGTTAATTTTTCATTTTGCATTACCCACTAACTTATTTTAATTTTTCCAAAAAAATTTTTTTAAGTCCCAATTATGACAATTATTTTATTTTTGCTATTTAATTTTTTTATAAATTACACTGGTTATCACACAATGGAAACCTAGAAAAGAATCCAACTGCCAACCCAATTTCTGATTCCATTTTATGCAAAGTGAAAAATCAACTTTGCGTAGCCTAGCCTTAGATATGATATAAGATTATTAATAATTCGAACTGATTATATATCGATATATTAAAGTTGTCAAAATTTTTATTGTTACTATAAAGTTCTTCGGTTGATCATCATAGACAGACATTCGTATGATTGGCAGTTTAAATCAATTTAATTTTACATTATTTATACAGTTTAAAATACTTTTTAAAAAAAAGAAAACTACGAAGAATAAACAAAAAAAGAAGGATATAGAAAGTTTTATTAGGGTTGTAGAATTCTACTATTAAAAATAATCAAAATTCTTTTCTGTTTTAGAAAAGTTAGCACGGTGACCTAATTTTAAGAAGTTATTATTATGCTAACTTCTCTGAAACAAAAAAGAATTTTGATTATTTTTAATAGTGAAGTCCTACAGCTCTATTAAAACTTTCTTTATATTTCTTTTTTGTTTATTCTTCGTAGTTTTCTTTTTTTTTAAAAGTACTTAAAGCTGTATAAATAATGTAAAATTAAATTGATTTAAACTGCCAATCATATGAATATCTGCCTATGAGGTTGATCATGCAGTCATAAGGATGACCACTAAATTAATTTAGAAGTATGGAGAAAGTGTTGAATTTCAGGATCAGAAGCAGGCATAATTAAAATTTTTACAATTAAAAAAATTTTTTTTAAAAAAGATAACGTAAATAAAAATTGTACGTAACGATAAATATTAATTATGTAATTATTGCATTATGATTAGAAAATACATATCTCAGATCAATTCCTTATCACTAACACAAATATGAGATTAATTAAATTTGTTATTAATTCTCATAAGTAATTGATATTAATACCAATATAACCAATAATTAATCGCTTATCACTAGTCGGGAGATTGGTTTGGTACAGTTTATTATGATGATCATTATAATTTTCGATGGTATTTCGCAAAAAATTATACCTGATTTTTTTTTACTAATCAATGCTATTAATTTGATGCGACATTCTGTACATGATAAAAATCATAATCTCAAATTTATATTTCACAAAATAATCCATATATACTTTTTTATACTCTTTGTTTAAACAACTTCAAACAAAAAATAACAGGTTTTATTTAAATAACAAAGTGAATATTTTTACAAATATCAGAAAAAAAAGTAAAAAATTAACAAAAGAAAAATATATATATGAAATCTTCGGTATATATAAAGTCAATCATTATGTATTAAATTATGTTTATCATTAATTAAATAATTTTAAACCTTATCTGAGTGATCTTGGTAATTATCATTTGTTCGTGGCAATCCGTTTAAAATATTTTTTAAAATA